TACAGATTTTTTGACAGATAAATTCTCCAATACTTCACAACTAACTGAAAATTTGGTTACTATAAAATTAAACTGACCAACATTAATACTCCCATTTCAGTGATGCTGAAATTTACCATCATATGTCAGAAAATAAAATGAGATGCCAATGAAGAAAAGATGATTACCAGTTCTTCACTGATACTATAACATATCTCCACTGTCTTTCTCAAGTTGGCCAGGGTGAATATATCACAGTTGGCCAGGGTGAATTTGTTGCTAAGGATCCAGGAGATTACAACAGTATTTTTATATACTATTTCATTTTTTTTAATTGTTGGTTAGGACTCACTACATTGATTTCATGACTGCTAATGGGTTTCAACCTGCAGTTTGGGAAACATTGGTGTAGAAAGATCATAGTGGGTAAGTGGGAGAGTAAAGGTAAATGCAGAATGATAGCAAGGCCCAGGTCCCATAAGGCTTAGTAAGCCATGAAAAGATTGTGGCATTTAAAGTGTGATTAAAAATCTTGGGGATTGGGCTTCCCTGGTGGTGCAGTGGTTGAGAGTCCGCCTGCCGATGCAGGGGACACGGGTTCGTGCCCCAGTCCGGGAAGATCCCACGTGCCACGGAGCAGCTGGGCCCGTGAGCCATGGCCGCTGAGCCTGTGCATCCGGAGTCTGTGCTCCGCATCCGGAGTCTGTGCTCCGCAACGGGAGTGAGAGGCCCGCGTACAAAAAAAAACTTGAGGATTGAAAACCTGATATGATTTGAATTTTAAAATGATCACTGTGAATGCTGGGTGGAGAGTGGATTAAAGAGGTAGTGCTGGAGTAGAGGTGGGCAAACTACAGCCCACAGGCCAAATCCACCCACCACCTGTTTTTGGAAGGCCTGTGAGCTAGGAATGATTTTTATATTTTACATTTCAAATGGTTGGGAATAAATCAAAAGAAGAATAATATTTCATAACACGTGAAAATTATATGAAATTCAGACTTGAGTGTCCATAAGTATTTATTGGAACACATTGGAGCTCAACGTGTACATTTGGTCTGTGGCCACTTTGGTGCTGCAAGAGCAGAGTTGAGTGTTTGCAACTGGGATGATATGGCCCCCCAAACCTAAGTATGGCCCTTTATAGAAAAAGTTTGTTGTTACTATATGGCCCTTTATAGAAAAAGTTTGTTGACCCCTGTACTAGAGTGTAGGCAGCTGTATCAGTAAAGACGTTAATGCAGAGTCCAGGAGAGAGATGATGGTGTCTTGAACTGGGGGTTACAGTGTACAAGGGTACAAGTGGATAAGTATGGGAGACACTCTGGAGAGGGGACTGAGAAGTTTTGCTATTGAATGTGGATACTGGTGGAACTGATCGAAAAGGTTTCTTTTTCCTTCACTGAAAAAAAGACAACCATCTAGCCAAAAAAGTAAATGGATCATTTTGCCTTTCCTTCTATATGTTATATTCTAAAAGATGAAAGATGTATGTAACTATTAAAAGCAACTTCAGTGTAAAATGAAAAACATTTCTAAATTTGCCTGACCCAAGAAGGCATTTTTACTTATAATCCTTGCTCTATAACTAGCTTCTTGCTATATATTTTAAATTTACTCACCTCTTCTTACATATACACTCATCCTAAATATTAAGACTGTTCTGGGCTTTCTGAATACAGTACATTGTTTTAAATGGCTTGCAAATATAAACTTAGGTAGAATGCTTAGGAACCAGTCTAGGTTTCCTGTAGGTTCTGTGACTATAGTTTATAATTGTTCATTTGCGTGAATGTGTCAGCCGTGACGGGGTGGAAATTTTTATTATTTTTAGGGATGAAAATTACTTATTTGGTTTTGATTCCTAAGTTTTTTTTTTCCTTGTATAGCCCCCTAACTGTAATGGGAATAGTGTTTGAAACCTTAAAGCTGTAGAATCTGACATTTGCAATACAATTACTTTTTAAACAGCAATCTAAACTTTAAAAATGTGTAGCCGTTGTTTTTGACCATTTGCTGTATGTGAAATTTATAAAATTTTATAAGAATTATATTTATACAGCTCTCTATACTTTTCAGTCTCTAGCAATATGGCTGACTAAATAATCTGAAAATGCTTCTGTTTTAAATCACCTAGAAATGCTAGATAAAATATAATAAACATACATTTAAGTGAACAGCTGAGCTTTCAGGAAAGTAAGGAAAACAGATTCAAACATAAAGAAAAGACTGAAAAACAGAGGAGTGTGTGAGCTGACATTTGACTGCTCCGTGGATGGGAGCAAGAGTTATTGGTCTGGGCATTGTTGGGATTTGAATTTTAATGCCCTTGTGGAAACAGGTTACAAAGCCTTGAGTTTGTACAAAGTGGGGGAATTGGAACAACATCCAAACATGAAACCAGGATCCTTAAAGGGCTACACTTTTAGCAAAGGGGTAGATGAGGAAAAGAACCCGTCCATCAGCACAGAGAAATACAAAGAACCTTTCAAATAAGATTTCCCTAAGAGCTTGTAACTATGCTCCTGCCTCTTGTTGGCTTGGGGTTTAAATTAATATTACCTACTTGATCTGGGAAAACCTAAACTGAGAAATTAGTATACAAAGGATTCATAGGCTAGCAAAACTTCTGAGTTATCTGGAAGAAGCAAACACAAAACATCCTTGGTGGGACAAGCTTTCAAACGAGGCTGCCTAGTTTCCCACAGTTAACCTGCATGAAGTTGAGTTTGCAATACCCAATTAAAAGATCCAGAAGACAGTCACCTATTATCACAATAGACACAACGAATAGGATTAAATCCCTAAGACCTAGATAATTATCATATGGAGATCATAAAATAAGTATGTTTAAAATGACAAAAGGGTTAAAATAAGGAAATTAAAACATAAGGAAGTAAATCAAAAATTTGGAAAGGAATCCAATAAAACTTAGAGAAATAAAAAATGTAGTCATTAAAAATAAAATTAATGGGGCTTCCCTGGTGGGGCAGTGGTTGAGAGTCCGCCTGCCGATACAGGGGACACGGGTTCGTGCCCCGGTCCGGGAGGATCCCACATGCCGCGGAGCGGCTGGGCCGGTGAACCGTGGCCGCTGAGCCTGCGCGTCCGGAGCCTGTGCTCCGCAACGGGAGAGGCCACAACAGTGAGAGGCCCGCGTACCGCAAAAAATAAAAACTAATAAAAAATAATAAAATAAAATTAATGAATAATCAGCAGAAATAGTTGAAGGAGGAATAAGTGGAAGAGAAATCTGAAGAAGTTATCCAGAATGCAGGAAAGAGAGAAAGAAGAAAAATCTTCAGAGACAAAGAAGTTAGAATGGGACAATCTAACATAACGTCTAAAGAAGTTCCAATAGGAGAAAAAATAATAAAGGGATGAAGCAGTATTTGGAGAGAGAATGGCTGAAAATATTGCATATGAATGAAAGGCGTAGTCCTTAGCTTCAGAAAGCCTAATGAGTCTCAAGCAGGATAAATAAAATCTAATCCTCACCCAGACACATCATGAAACCAAAGAAAATAGAGCAAGGGTTTTTATGGGTAGCATTCTCCTACAACTAAGATATTGAAATCAATTCACCTGAAATAAGATTTTAAAGTTATTTTCCAGTATTAGTGATAAGTTTTCACTGATCTATCTGCATGTTCATATTGGTTCAACTTTGTGAAGTGTTTGATAAGTTTTTTGCCATGGAGCATTAGTGTCTAAATATTAATTAATAGTTCTATGAGGAAATAATTTATTTTTGTGACTAGTTTTCTTCTTGAGGGAACTAAGGAAATACACCATCAAGAAAACTACCATTCAACATCTTCCAAAATGTGTGGGGATTTTAAAGTCACTGGTTAAAAATAATAGCATAATTTATTTGAAATTTTAACCAAAAAAATCTGTTACCTTTCTTTGTTATTCACTCATTTAGTCCAGTTTTAGAATTTTCTCTTTCTGTATCCTGAAGTCATTTTTTTCCTTCTGATTTCCACACTGATTGTTCTTTTCCTGTTTCTTATTCATAGACTTCCAAGGAACAGCTATATTTGCAAGTCACTTAAAATCATTTATTCATTGTATGTTTAAAAAGTAAGATGAAATAAAACAAAACCCACTTTGCTTTCTTTCTCCATTTAATTAGCATTTCTCTTTTGATTTATTTGCCTTCTACCTGCTGCACGAAGTATAGTGGGCCCTCTGTGAAAATGATTACCTCCATAATTATTCTCATTTCACCCCATGAGTTAGCTGTTTTGTTGTGGGGTAGAGTGAGGCAGAAGCTAATCTGCATAATCCTGACAGGTGAGATTTCGCTTTGAAATACTCTGACATTGGCCTCTACCAGCATTAGTCGTAGTCTTGCTTAAGAGTTTTGTGACCTGAATATTCTCTCGTTATTTAATCTAAACAGCTTCATTAATGAGATGTGTGTGTGTGTGTGTGTGTGTGTGTGTGAGTTGGGAGAGTGGGGAGGAGACTAGGAATTTCGGACATCTTTCCCTTTTACTATACACACCCGCAAGCATATACGCGTTCACACTGCTTTTCCAAAGTATTTTCCCCTGTAAAACCTCTTCATAACATCCTCCACTTATTACTAGATCTCGTTTTTAACCATTTAACAGTTAAATGTGTGTATGTATTTGAGATATAAAACTTAGGTCCTTTAAGCTTATATCTTATTTTCCTAGCACGCAGTCTATGTTTTTAGACATTCTTTATTACTTTAAATATCTTCTGAAAGTTCTTCTCCTTATAATCAGTTATGAATTTTAAACAACTTTTATTTCAAACTGTACATTTAAATTTTTTTCTACTTTTTATGTTTGCAACTGATGTACATATTCTTTTATCAGGGTATAAGTTTTCAGCAAGGAAATGCTCACATTTTCTTTGCACATTTCCATATACAAAAATGAGTTTACGTTTTTTAATCTTTTAAATCAACAGGCTAAGTTTTCTTTACAGTCATTCTTATTTAATATGTCATGGATATTAAATTATGTTTGTATATTGTTATTTAGGTGACTATTATATGGTTAAAAAGATTTTGGAGGAAAACAGTTCAGGTGACTTGAACATAAATTGCGTAGATGTGCTTGGGAGAAATGCTGTTACCATAACTATTGAAAACGAAAACTTGGATATACTGCAGCTTCTTTTGGACTACGGTTGTCAGGTACAAGGCTAGATAATTTTATCCAGTAGCTTCTAAGTACTGTTAGATATGCTATGTTTTCTCCTTCCTTTCTAGTTTCCTTCCTCCCTTCCTTCCTTCCTTTTTTCCTTCCTTTCTCTCTCTATTTTTCTTCTCTCTTTCTTTCACCTTTTGTTTTGAGCTACTAAAAATTTAAAGACAAACCAAAAAAACCCTTTATAAAAAAGTATAGTATTTTGACTTGATTTATCTTTTTCTTCCCAACTTTCACTCCTGCCCCTTATCTTATATGTTTTAAACCATCCGACAGAGGTAAATTATCATGACTTATTAAAGATGACTTTGTTTTTATTACTTACATTATTATATTACTATTTACCTTATATATCTAAAAATAGTACAAGTGTTCTGGAAGTGTCAGGGGAACAGGTATTTCTGTGGCCCATATAATTTACAAGCATAAAAACAGAATACTCGTCACTTACAAAGCAATTTTCAATTTGATTTTCCCCAAAGTTTTATTAAATTGTCCTTTTTGTCTGAAATTTAGTGTTTGCTTATAGCTAAAGGTGAATGGATTCTTTTAAACTGGAAAACATTGACCTTTCTGCTTGTCTTCATATCAGTTCGTGTAAAAAAGCAGGCATGTGGGGCTTCCCTGGTAGCGCAGTGGTTGAGAGTCCGCCTGCTGATGCAGGGCACACGGGTTCGTGCCCCGGTCCGGG